ACATATCGAAAAAACTCGAAGAAATTTCCAAAAATTAAAAAATTAAAAAACTGAAAAATCGAAAAATTGAAGAACTGAAGAACTCAAAAATCGAATACTTTGGGAAGTCGAGAAATAGGAAAATCAAAAATTTGATTAACTGAGAAATCAGAAAACTGAAAATTCAGAAACGTCAAAATTTGAAAAATTAAAAAATATTGAAGAACTGAAAAATCGAAAAATCTAAAATTTAAAATAATGACATTAAAATTTGTAAAATTGAAAAAGGGAGAAATCTAAACATCAAAAAAATAAACAAATAAAAATCCGAAAATTTAAAATTTAATTATTTTAATTATTGTTAACAATCACAAACATTTGGAAAATTGAAAAATCGGATAATTAAAAAATCGAAACATCGAAAAATCGAGAAGCCAAAGAGTAAAAAATCGAAAAACCAACAAATCGAAAAATTCAAAACTGAGACATCGAGAAATCGAAAAATCAAAAGAACGAGGAGTCGAAAAGTCGAAAAATTGAAAAATTGTGGAAATAGGCCAAAATCGAAAAATCTAAAAGTTAAAAATGGAAAAATTGATAAATCGAGGGATTGAACAATCAAAAATTAAAGTATAGAAGAATTGAAAACTCGAGAAATCGAAAAATCTAGAATTTTAAAAATCGAAAAATTAAAATATCGAAAAGTTGAGAAATTGAAAAATCGAAATACAAAACAGTCGAAAAATCCAAAGTTTGAAAAACGAAAAACTGAAAATCCAAACAATAAGAAATCAAAAAATCCAGAAGTCGAAAGATCGAAAAGTTGAAAAAACGACAAATTGAAAAAAACTGAAAGAAATTTCTAAATATTAAGAAATTAAAAATTAAAAAACTGACAAATCGAAAAACCAAAAAACCAAAGTCGAAAATCGACGAACTGAAGAACTGAAAAATCGAAACTTGTAGAAGTAGAGAACTGGGAAAATCAAAAATACATTAATTGAGAAATCGGAAAACTGAAAATTTAGCAACGTCAAAATTTGAAAAATCAAAAACCTGAAAAACCAAAATTTGAAGAACTGAAGAACTCAAAAATCGAAACTTTGGAAAGCCGAGAAATGGAAAAGTCAAAGAATTGATTAATTGAGAAATCAGAAAATTGAAAACTCAAAAACGTAAAAATTTGAAAAATTGAAAAATATTGAAGAACTGAAAAATCGAAGTCGAAAAATATAAAATTTAAAACATTCAAATATTAAAATATCGTAAAATTGAAAAAGTGAGAAATGTAAATATTAAAAAATCAAAAAATAAAAATCGGAAAATTTAAAAATCGAAAAACTGAAAAATCAACAAATCGAGAAATCGAAACTGGACAATTAAAAAAAATGGAAAATTAAAAAATCGGATAAGTCAAAAATCGAATCATCGAAAAATCGAGAAACCAAAAATTATAAAATCGAAAAACCGACAACTCGAAAAATCGAAACATCGAAAAATTCAAAAACTGGGACATCGAGAAATCGAAAAATCAAAAGAACGAGAAATCGAGGAGTCGAAAAGTCGAGAACTCGAAAAATTGAAAAATCGAGAAATCGAAACATAAAACAGTCGAAAAATCCAAAGCTTAAAAAGGAAAAACTGAAAATCCTAAAAATAAAAGATCCAAAAATCAAAAAATCCAGAAGTCGAAGGATTGAAAAGTCGAAGAAAACACATATTGGAAGAAAAAACTAAAGAAATTTCCAAAAATTAAGAAATTAAAAAACTGAAAAATTGAGAAATCGAAAAACCAAAAAAGCAAAGTCGAAAAATAGAGGAACTGAAGAACTGAAAAATCGAAACTTGTAGAAGTCGCCACATGGGAAAATCAAAAATAGATTAATTGAAAAATCGGGAAACTGAAAAATCAAAAAATCGGGAAATCGAAAAATCTAAAATTTAAAACATTGAACAATTAAAATATCGCAAAATTGAAAAATCGAGAAATTCAAACATAAAAGATCTAATTTTAAAAATCGAAAAACTGAAAAATCGACAAATCGTGACTCCAGAATTTAAAAAATTGAAAAACTGAAACATCGGATAACTGAAAAATTGAACCAGCGAAAAAGTGGAAAATGGAAAATTTGAAAAGGCTAAAAATAAAAAATCGAAAAACCGAGTAATCCAAAAATCGAAACATGGAAAAATTCAAAAACTGAGACTTCGAGAAATCGAAGAATCAAAAGATCGAGAAATCGAGGAGTCGAAAGCCGGGAAGAAAAGTTAAAAACTGAAAAATTGATTAATCGAGAAATTGAACAATCGAAACATCTGAATTCGATAAATCGAGAAATGAAAAAATTGAAAAAAGAAAAATTAGAAAATCGAAAATTTAGAAAGTCGGAAAATTGAATCATTGAAATATAGAAGAACTGTACGCAAGTAATCGCAAAACCTAGAATTCTAAAAATTGAAAAATTAGATTATCGAAGAATAAAAAATTTTAAAAATCGAAAAATTAAAGAAAATCGGGAAATCTAAAATTTAAAATATTGAAAGATTAAAATATCGGAAAATTGAAAAAGGGATAAATCTAAAAATTAAAAAATCAAAAAATAAAATCCGAAAATCTTGAATTTAAAAATCGGATAATTTAAAATCCGAAACATCGAAAAATCGTGAAGCCAAAAAGTAAAAAATCGAAAAACATGCAAGTCGAAACATTGAAAAATTAAAAAACTGGGACATCGAGATATCGAAAAATCAAAAAAGAACGAGAAATCGAGGAGTCGAAAGGTCGAGAAGTCGAAAAATTAAACGTTAAAAATGCAAAAATTGATAAATCAACAGATTGAACAACCATAACATCGAAATATCCGAATCTCGATAAATCGATATCTCGAAAAATTGAAAAATTAAAATATAAAAGAACCGAAAACTCGAGAAATCGAAATATAAAACAGCCGAAAAATCCAAAGTTTAAAAAACGAAAAACTGAAAATCCAAAAAATAAAAAATTCAGAAATCGAAAGATCGGAAAATCGAGGAAACGACATATTGAAAAAAAAAAACTGAAAGAAATTTACAATAATTAAGAAACTAAAAAACTGAAAAATTTTGAAATCGAAAAATCGAGAAATCCAAGCATCAAAAAGTCAAAAAATAAAAATTCGAAAATCTGAAATTTAAAATCGGAAAACTGAAAAATCGACAAAACGAGAAATCGAAACTCCAAAATTTAAAAAATTGAAAAATTGAAAAATCGTATAACTGAAAAATTGAACCTTCAAAAAATTGGAAAATGGAAAAATTGAAAAGGCCAAAAATAAAAAATCGAAAAACCGAAAAATCCAAAAATCGAAACATCAAAAAATTTAAGAACTGAGACAGAATCAGAGGATGGAGAAATTGACTTTTCAGTTCTTCTATATTTCAATTATTCAATTTGTCCGAATTTTTAAATATTCGATTTTCCAATTTTTCTTTTTTCAATTTTTTGATGAAAACCTAAAATTTTAAAAATTTAAAAAATTAAACATCCAAAGTATACAAGAGTGGAAAAATTGAAAAATCTAATGTTTAACGAAAAATTGAAAATACAAAAAGCAACAAAATCTAGAAATCAAAAAATTCAGGAGTTCAACAATCGAGATATTGAAAAAATCCAAAACTAAAAGAAATATCAAAAAAATGAGAAATTAAAAATTGGAAAATTGAGAAATCGAGAAACTAAAGCAGAAGAGTCGAAAAATTGTAAGCTTAAAAAATCGAAAAATCGAAACTTTGGCAAGTCGAGAAATGGGAAAATAAAAAAAAGATAAAAGATAACGTAAAAATTTGGAAAAGTGAAAAATCGAAATATTTAGAAACCGTAAAATTCAAAAAGAAATCATTGAAACATCGGAAAACAGAAATCGAAAAATAAGAAAAATCGAGGAACCGCAAATTTGAAAAATGAAAAAATTGAAAAAGTCCAAAATTGAAATATTGAGAAATTGAAACATCTAAAGTTGAAAAATCGAGAAATCTTAAAGCCGAAAAGTCTCAATAGAGTATTTATAAACCACAAGTTCAGGATTATGCTACTTTTTAGATTAGAGTCGATTTTGGCCTGAGTGCGCCCTGGTCTGTCGATCAAACAAGTTCTGAGGCGACGATTTGCCAACATAAAGCGAAGATACAAATCAGTAAAAATCTACTAATGTTTGACGTATCAAAAATTGTCAAAGTTTTCAAAACCCTACGTTCAAAATGTTCGCAGTTAATTTTAGGTCCCCTGGTGTTTTTTTTCGGATAAATTTAAAGGAATCTGGTGTTTTGTTGCTGGATGAAGTTGAAAAAATCTTTTGAGCTTTTAGTGTTTTATTTTTCATACATTTGAAAAAATCTTGAATGTTGTAGTGGTACTACTATTTTGGGAGCCCATGGAATTTTTTTTTGTAAATTATTTGAAACAATTTTGTGGGACTTTGGTGTTCTATTTTTTTTTTTTTTGAAAAATTTAAACCAATCTTGAGATTCTAGGTATTCCTGTTTGGAAAGAATTTGAAAGTGGCTTGGAGCCTCTAGTGTCTTTTCTTATAATAATTTATTTCAAATTCTTAGAGGAAACGTCATTTGCTAAAATCAGTCTTATCTTGGCAGCTACTAGTCCCGCCCACCCACCCTCTCTATTCTTAGAACATTTTCTCTAGTGTTTAGCTGGTTAGTTTGAAAAAGTCTGGACCATCTCATGAAAAAAAATTTGGCCGAAAATTCGCAAAAAATTCAGTAATATAGAACTCGACGTGCTGATTCCAAAAATATAGCTTAATCATGGTCACAAATCTTGTAATTTCAAAGTTTCGTCTTCGACCAATTTTTACTCAATTACGCCGCCGAAAGAAGTGTCAATCAAAGCGTTTAACTCGCGCTTTCTCAAACAAGTTAGCCGCATCACAAACTTTAGCCACTAGGGGCACTCAAAACTGTTTCTTTTATATTCTTAGTACTTTTGGTGTTTCCCAGCGGCGAATTGCCGCCGTTCCAGTACTCACCGCCTCGTGGACGCGACATCGCCCCTCTCCACCGCCAGCAGGAACTTCTTCTCGTCCAGCGACAGCTGCGCGATCTCCTGGTGCGGCCTGATCACGTTCTCCTCTTCCATCATCCCGTGGATGCTGTGTCTCTATCCAACAGAAAAAGCAGGCGTTTAATCTCTCGCTCGGGCCGCTCATAACGAATTAATTCGATGGCGCTTTTCCGGAAAGCGATATGTCAACTCCAATTAAATTAATTTGTAGGCAATTTGCGTTGTAAACAGAGTTTTTTTTCCGGCGTGTCATCGGGGAAACGTTCCCGAAGGACGGACACCTAACGACCTAATTAAGGGTAATAACAAAAATAACAGAAGATGGGTCGAGAGAAGAGTCGATTTATCATTGGCGGCGGACACGGGCGCCGATTGGGGTAAAATACGGAATGTCTGCGAACATGCGTCGATTGAAGGGGTGTGATGGACGATGTTAATTAATTTGACGCAGTTTTTGTTGAGCGTTGTTTATTGGCGTGGAGGAGAAATGGCTTTCCGATGGGGACGGAATGTGAGGCGGCTTCGGGAAATTGTGGCTATTAATACGCGGTAATTAAGCAATTAAAATGCCGCGAGACGGCGCTTATTAAAATAATCGTGCGTTTGGCGGACTCGCAAAACAAATAATTGGGGATTTGTGTGTTTTAAAAGTACACAGACACGTGTTGGAGGGTTGGGTGAATAGTTGCTTGTTAGCTTTGACCGGTTGGGTGGCACTTGTCCACGGGTGTGTTTGGCTTCGTTAAAGATTCACAAAGCGGACTCTAATTGCCTTTAATCTGTATTTTGGATTTCAGCGGATTCGTGAACATTTTTCATCTTTTTGCTGACATTATTGCATGATATTGTAGAAACGAGAATTTAATCCATCTGTTATTAGTCGCAGCGATGTCTAAAGCATGTCGCTCATAACGGAAATTTGAAACTTTCGATCCAATTGCTCGTTCGCTACAGTTAAAGGAAACTTACAATAACGCGAAAGTTATTGAAGGGAATTCAATTAGTGTGTATCAGTGCACGTCTGTGGAGATCTAAGGAGGATTGGAATGCGTATTCAAGGCGTGACCTTACTGCTGAACATTATATCAAGCGTACTTAGCAACCAAGGAAAACTGATCGTTTCATTCATCCCTGAAAATATTTTCTCTTTACACGTAAAATTTGAGTTTCCTCGTAGTTTAGGTTTTTAGTTATTTGACTAAAAAAAATCAAGCTTAGAATTGGTTTTAATTTTTTGTCTAGATTCCACTACCTACCTATCAACAGAAAATACATTTGTTGTCTAATAAAATGAATGATCAGACAGAAAACCGGTTAAAATTGGTCGTATTTTGCGTAGATTTGTACTGTTCAAAGAACGATCCTGAAAAACCATTGGAGTTATCGAAGAAACGAAAGCGCAAATGACTTCTGCAGCCTGGAATCTACAAGAAAATGTATCCTTTGAAATTTTGAAAATTTCGTTGAAAATTGGTGGAAAATTGGTCGTATTTTGCATAGATTTGTACTGTTCAAAGGACGAATCTGGAAAAACCATTGGAGTTATCGAAGAAACGAAAGCGGAAATGACTTCTGCGGCCTGAAATCTACAAGAAAATCTATGTTTTGAAATTTCGAAAATTTAGTTGAAAATTGGTGGAAAATTGGTCGCATTTTGCATAGATTTCTACTGTTCAAAGGACGATTCTGGAAAAACCGTTAGAGTTATCAAAGAACCGAAAGCGGAAATGACTTCTGCGGTCTGAAATCTACAAGAAAATGTATACTTTGAAATTTCGAAAATTTTGTTGAAAATTGGTACAAAATTGTCGTATTTTGCATAGATTTGTACTGTTCAAAGGACGATTCTGGAAAAACCATTGGAGTTATCGAAGAAACGAAAGCGGAAATGACTTCTGCGGCCTGAAATCTACAAGAAAATGTGTACTTTGAAATTTTGAAAATTTCGTTGAAAATTGGTTGAAAATTGGTTGCATTTTGCATAGATTTGTACTGTTCAAAGGACGATTCTGGAAAAACCATTGGAGTTATCGAAGAAACGAAAGCGGAAATGACTTCTGCAACCTGAAATCTACAAGAAAATGTATACTTTGAAATTTTGAAAATTTCGTTGAAAATTGGTGGAAAATTGGTCGTATTTTGCAAAGATTTGTACTGTTCAAAGGACGATTTTGGAAAAACCATTGGAGTTATCGAAGAATGGAAAGCGGAAATAACTTCTGCGGCCTGAAATCTACAAAAAAATGTATACTTTGGAATTTCGAAAATTTCGTTAAAATTAGTGGAAAATTGGTCGTATTTTGAATAGATTTGTACTGTTCATAGGACGATTCTGGAAAAACCATTGGAGTTATCGAAGAAACGAAAGCGGAAATGACTTCTGCAGCCTGAAATGTACAAGAAAATATATGCTTTGAAATTTTGAAAATTTCGTTGAAAATTGATGGAAAATTGGTGTATTTTGCGTAGATTTGTACTGTTCAAATTATCATTCTGGAAAAACAATTGGATTTATCGAAGAAACGAAAGCGGAAATAACTTCTGCGGTCTGAAATCTACAAGAAAATGTATACTTTGAAATTTCGAAAATATCGATGAAAATTGGTGGAAAATTGGACGTGTTTTGCAAAGATTTGTACTGTTTAAAGGACTATTCTGGAAAAACCATTGGATTTATCGAAGAAACGAAAGCGGAAATGACTTCTGCGGCCTGAAATCTACAAGAAAATGTATACTTTGAAATTTCGAAAATTTCGTTGAAAATTGGTAGAAAGTTGGTCGTATTTTGCATAGATTTGTACTGTTCAAAGGACGATTCTGGAAAAACTATTGGATTTATCGAAGAAAAGAAAGCGGAAATGACTTCTGCGGCCCGAAATCTACAAGACAATATATACTTTGAAATTTCGAAAATTTCGATCAAAATTGGTGGAAAATTGGTCGTATTTTGCGTAAATTTGTACTGTTCAAAGGACGATTCTGGAAAAACCATTGGAGTTATCGAAGAAACGAAAGCGGAAATGGCTTTTGCGGCCTGAAATCTACAAGAAAATGTATACTTAGAAATTTCGAAAATTTCGTTGAAAATTGGTGGAAAATTGGTCGTATTTTGCAAAGATTTGTACTATTCAAATTACGATTCTGGAAAAACCATTGGATTTATCGAAGAAACGAAAGCGGAAACGACTTCTGCGGCCTGAAATCTACAAGAAAATGTATACTTATAAATTTCGAAAATTTCGTTGAAAATTGCTGGAAAATTGGTCGTATTTTGCAAAGATTTGTACTATTCAATTTACGATTCTGGAAAAACCATTGGATTTATCGAAGAAACGAAAGCGGAAATGATTTCTGCGGTCTGAAATCTACAAGAAAGTGTATATTTTGAAATTTCGAAAATATCGTTGAAAATTGGTGGAAAATTGGTCGTATTTTGCAAAGATTTGAACTGTTCAAAAGACGATTCTGGAAAAACCATTAGAGTTATCGAAGCAACGAAAGCGGAGATGACTTCTGCGGTCTGAAATCTACAAGAAAATGTATACTTTGAAATTTCAAAAATTTCGTTGAAAATTGGTGAAAATTGGTCGTATTTTGCATAGATTTGTAATAAATAAATAAATAAATAAATAATCCTTTATTATCCAACAGTTATTACAACTCATTACAGGATAATATTACAGCAAAAAAAGAAAGAAACGCGAAGCTAAACAAATAAAAAAAAAAGAAAAAGAAAACGAAAATCCCTAAACTAAAACCTGGAAATAATATATTTTTTTAATCTATCTAAACTAACTGTAAAAATATCAATTTCAGCGCAAAACTGATCAGTTCTTCTACACATAGAAATAATCGGTGATTGTGCATAATGGCGCGTCGAGGCCGTAGGTAAATAAAATAACTTAGGAGCCCTACAATTCAAACGGGGCACTAAGAAATTTACAAATTCCAGTAAGTACCCATCAGAAATTTTACCTTGTATAAGTTTAATGAGAAAAATAACCTCAGACAATATCCTACGATCATGCAGTGACTGGTATAAAAATTCATCCAACAGATTTTGATAAGCATATCCATGTTCCAGAAAAGTTTTATGTTTTCTATAATACAGGGTTTTTAAGAATTTACGTTGTACAGCTTCAATCATATGTATATATTTATCATAATACGGATTCCAGACACAAGAACAATATTCTAATTTGCTTCGAATGAAAGCATTAAAAAATCTAACAAGCACCCTATTGTCAAAATCCCTAGTATTTCTAAAAAGAAAACCCAATAATTTATAACACTGTAAACACAATATTTCAATATGAGCATTAAAGGTCAGTTTGCTATCAAAGGTGATACCTAGATCCTTGAATGTAGTACAACGCTTAAGAATCTGACCATCAATATTATAATCATTGATAATTGGAGTATTTTTCCTAGTATATGTCATCACCGTGCACTTGTCTTTATTCAGTTGGAGGCGGTTGAGGGTACACCATTGAAATAAGCGCTGCAGATCAGACTGCAATGTCTCACAGTCTGAGACAGTTTTTATGACATGATATAGCTTTGAATCATTTGTACTGTTCATAGGACGATTCTGGAAAAACCATTGGAGTTATCGAAGAAACGAAAGCGGAAATGACTTCTGCGGCCTGAAATCTACAAGAAAATGTATACTTAGAAATTTCGAAAATTTTGTTGAAAATTGGCGGAAAATTGGTCGTATTTTGCGTAGATTTGTGCTGTTCAAAGGACGATTCTGGAAAAACCATTGGAGTTATCGAAGAAACGAAAGCGGAAATGACTTCTCCGGCCTGAAATCTACAAGAAAATTTGTAGTTTGAAATTTCGAAAATTTTGATGAAAATTGGCGGAAAATTGGTCGTATTTTGCAAAGATTTGTACTGTTCAAAGGACGATTCTGGAAAAACCGTTGGAGTTATCGAAGAAACGAAAGCGGAAATGACATCTGCGGCCTGAAATCTATAAGAAAATATGTACTGTTAAATTTCAAAAATTTCGTTGAAAATTGGTGGAAAATTGGTCGTATTTTGCAAAGATTTGTACTGTTCAAAGGATGATTCTGGAAAAACCATTGGATT